GGTAGTCTTCCTACCTACCTACGTTCCTTCCTTCCAAGTCTACCTAGCTAAGCAAGAGCTAGGAACCGCAGCTCGCCGAAGCGCATCACGCCGAAAAAACATTTTCTCATCGGGAAGCCGACGGCGGAAACATGCATGATGCTAATATAGATAAATGGCGGGGGAAGGGTTGGCGACAGTACAAATGTAGCAAACATTGCTCACTCACAGAGGCCATCTGGCTACATACTACCCGCCCTTTTGTTTCTCCATTGATGGCCACCAGGCCAAAGGGTGGTTGGGGTTGGGATTGATGTCGTCTGGAGATGAGACGGTCACATGCTGTTGTTAGGTATGACATACCGTTGGCACAAAATTTCGAGATGTCGCCATAGACCATAGAGAATAAAAACTTATGACAACTCAAGTAATTGAAAGAACAATAATACAAGGGTGTAAGGATACAAGGAACACAGGTAGACTACAGAAAGAACTCCCAGGATCCCATGACCGTATTGAAAGAAGGCGCAGGCAGAGACAAAAGCAGAAACAAAAACAACGGCCGGCGTGCCCTCAAGATCTGGTCGACTTAATCTCACCGCGATAATCCACCGTTCACCTCGACACACTATCCATGCCGCGTCGAGGTACATGTAGGCGAGCGTCTATCCGTCACCTTGTCTCAGTCAATGTAGGTCGCAGACAGACGTACGTAGAGCCCACAAGGAACGAGCCTGATGGAGAAGTGTAAGCGCTTCAATGTGACTAATCTTTGCACAGAGGAGACACATTGGATGTGCCTTAGAGGTGATCATGAAGTGTACGACCTACTACCTACCCTGGATCTCTAATATGGGACAGGCATTGTCTAGTATAAGTGAGTAAGTGTAAGCATGGGAGAAAGGGACCGCGTTGATAGTATAGAGTAAGTAACATCACAGTAGGGAGGGAGTAAGTGCACACCGTGACTGAGTGTTGATTAATGTGGTGATAGAAAGGAACATTAAGTAGTGAACGTTGATTGAGGACTACCAGTTTCATTTTTCTAGCATCCGCTGCGAAAATAGGAGACAGATGGGAGTCAACGGTGTTGTCGCGCAGACAAAGATAGGTACGTTTGAAGGGCTTGATTCACCTCCTTGGCCATGTTCCTTATCACATGACCACATATCCATCTTACCAAACGGAATGTTGTCATTGCCTACCTCAACCTGGAAAGCATACCTCCACAAAGACAAGCAATGATCAGCTGGCGGTCAGTCGAGTTGTCTGAAAGCTCGTCTTGCCATGGCTTATTAACAGGAACTCGAAATAACCAAGCAGGGATGGCATACAAGACTGCCCATCATGACCTATAAGTCCACCAAGACCAAGGAAGATTGAAGGCAGAGCATAAAATGCTTGATACATCAGCGACGTCGGTGGCTTACCTTGTTGAACTAGGTGATATATCTGATCGGCATGGTCTTGGGTCGTGAGCGAACCGGGTGTGAAGTCATTGTTCACGCTCCTGTTGGTCCTTGTGTTGGTCCTTGTGTTGGTCCTTTTAGCCGCCACGTCAGGGAATTGGTAATCTTGAGATGGTCTAGTACATAACTTCGAAAGGGAATGGATGACGGCACTTGAGAGTTGTGAAGGTCCTGATGGTTCATGATTCGAGTAAAGTCCATGTGCACTCAGCTTGAAAGGCAAAGCACAGCATGTTTTGGACATTTAAACAGGAGAGTTACTTGGGTGGGTAAGAGAAGAGCTTGTTACAAAAATTGAAATGATGATAACTTGTTGAAGAACAGTAGGTGGTTACGATATTTCGCAGTGATAAGTGTGCTTGAGGACGTCATGATTGAGAAAGAATGAGAAGTTAATATCGCTTCACGGTGAAAATTGCCCAAATTTGTCGAACACTAATATGTAATTGGCAAAGCAATCTCCAGCCGAGTCATGAACATATTCGGGTAGATCGATTGTATGGTTATAATAAGGAGAGGTACTTTGTCCATTTAAACCCGATTATCTCAAATCCATGCTGGGGTGTGCTTATACCTTAGCTGGAGATAATACTAACTGTCCCTGCTGGAAAGACCCCGCAGAAGAAAAAAAAAAGACCAAGGAAAGATCCGAAAAGAGAAGTGAAGAGACAAGTGAAAGGAATACTGAAGAGAGAATTGAAGAGGGGACTGACGAGATTAGGGCAGGGTCGGTCCTCGGTTAGCTACCAAAAAGATGAAGGCGAGTAATGTAAACCAGCAGCTATAGGCATGTATCGATTCTTCGGGATGCCCCAGAGCACTGGCTAGGCGTCTTTGGTTCTCAGAGGAACTATTATCAAGACTGACGTCCTGGATACCAGTAAACATAGGTACTAGAACAAGTGCGCCAAGAAGTCGAGGTATGACTATGTAGTGATGCTGGCAATCCGACTTGGAGTACTGTGGAGGGATGTCATGATATCTATCTCCTTCATGACGCGCATACCGTTCTAGATATCACCTCGAAAGCTCTCAAGAGGTCTTGGCTTCTTGGTAAATAACAAAGGAAGAGATGAAGGAAAGCTGAAGCAAAGTTTCTTCGAACTGAACCAGTAGTATAAAAAGCCAAAGCCTTTTAAAACGCATAGCCATGCCACATCCGTTGTGCCTGTTCAAAGAATGAACCAAATTGACTGGGTATCCTGACGTTGCTCAACACGAAGTGAGATGCTCTTGTCCATTTGCCTCTGATTCCAACTAGGAGAAGCCAATTACAGCTCATCAAAGGCTCTGAGCTTATCGGCCGAGTCCGGAGACATCCACGCTGGTGAGGCTTCCCCATTAAGCGCTTCTGTTACCGCCGTTTCTGAACTTCCAGGCATATTCATTTCTTTTTCGCCGTCTCTTTTCCCTAGTTGTTGTTGTTGTTGTTGTTGTTGTTGTTGTTGTTGTTGTTGTTGTTGTTGTTGCTGTTGTTGTTGTTGTTGCCCACCAGTATCCTTCAGCCTCAGCCCCTGCCCAAGCAGCTCTCCAGCACCGCCCAGAGTCGCAATCTTAAGTGTGTTTAGAGAATCATTCGCGAGCTTGTTAGCCGCCATCACCGCCCCTTCCACCGTAGCCACTGTAGCCGCAGAACTCTCCGGCGCAAACTGCGACCCAACAAAGATCAACAGCACGAGGAAGATGACGGCTGAAGTCAGCACCCAGAATGCCTTGAGCCGTCTGCGTGTGCGCTCCTGCCACTCACGGTCAGCGCGCTCCCAGCTCTCGATCCGCTCGCGTACCAGGTCCACCCGCTCGCTTAGAGACTTGATACGGTCACGGCCAGCGTATACGCGGTCCTGCAGTTGTTCGATGCGCTTCTGGTGGTCCTCGAACTGACCAAAGGCGTCGAGCTGGGAGCTGACGTCGGTGACGAGCTCGTTGGCTTCCGTGGTGAAATGTGAGGTCATGTCTTGGGAGGCGACGGCTACCTCCTTGAGCGCGACGATGGTGCTCTGGAGGACGCAGAGCTTCTCGAGAACGGAGTAGTATGTGTCGTCGAGCTGGCGGGTCGTATTGTTTGAGAATTGTTCGAGATCCTCGAGAGACTTTTTCAGGCCCCTGCACAAGTTGGATTCATCGTCAGTTTGCAAACCCATGCAAGGAATGTCGAGAGGTTGAGGGGCCAAGCAGAGGGACTGGGGGTGTCTTCAACAAACCTTTCCCGCGCGATAGCCCTTTGGCGCTCCTTTGCGATTTCATCTTGACTTAGCAAGACCCTACCTCCTGATATATTACTCGCAAGTGCCGCGGTGGCTACCGAAGGGACGCTGTCATCGGCGGATGGGCTCGCATTGAGAATGCTGGCTCTTCTGCTCGCATTGGGAGTCAGGTTGTTCGGCGTCGACATGCCGAAGCCTTCAAAAGAGAAGCGGCCTCGACCGGTGGACTGCAAAGTCGGATTCGCACTCTGTACGTCGATGTTTAATCCATCGCGCTCCTTCCCTCTTTCGCGCTCCCTTTCTCGGCCCCTGGACTTGTCCTTGTCCTTGTGCTTTTCTTTGTCTTTCTCTTTCTCCTTCCCGAAGCGGTCGCGGTTTGATCGATGACGATGCAGATGGAGCGAAGACGGCAATTCGGTGATGGAGCGGGTGATTTGGTGTCGCTGACGATGTGGAGAGTGGGATCCTCCTTTGAGCCCTTCGACTCCATTCGGGGCGTTCGGAGACATGACGGCACTCGAGTGGCCTTCCTTTTCTTTATCGCGCTTTATCTGGTGATTCCGAGACATACCAAAGTGTAATGATGCGTAATAACGCCAGATTAGAGTACCTCTACGGGTAGGCAAAAAGTGGAGGTGTAAGCCAGGATGCAAGGTCGACTGGGCCACTGACGTTGCGACGACACACAGAGGTGCATCGCGGCGGGGACGCGGCGCAGGGGACCAATGGCACTCACTGCCCGGTGACGGGAAGCCGGCTGCCTTAACGATCCTTTGGCGGAACCTATCCAGCCTGTGCAGGGGTTGCTTCACTGGACATGTGAACTGAAGCAAAATGACCACAACCACAGTTTGTCACGAGAAGAGAATCACATGGAGGATGGTTTTCAAGTGGCTGCAGAGCCATCAAGAATGGTGATGGTAAACTTTTTGTTATGTTCCGTGTAAGAATTGCTTGGGGTATCAGAATATTGCTGTGGTCCCTTATCACCCGCAGTACCTAGTCGTTGATGTACGCCTTTCTTTTTGGCGTCGTCTTTCCGGGTTGTTTCTCATCCATCCGCCCTGTCCGCTGAGCTCTTCCTGACAAACCACGGCCTTCCGTGGCTGCTGCGAACTTCCAACTCCAATTATGCCATGCCATTATAAACACTCATCCAAAATAAAGTAACGCCGCTACCATCATATTCGCCGAGGAAGACGTCGCGCTGCGAAGGGGGTTTGGCTTTCGTCTTTCGGGCGTTGGTAGAACGGCGAAGCCGGTGATTCGGTTCGGTACCCATCGTTGGACGGAAAGGAGTGAGACGTGGTGTTCCGCATGTCCTGAGTGCCGTTCACAGCCTCCTCGTTCAAGAGTTGATAAGCTTGTTGCGCTTCTCCTTGCGCTTGAGTCTCTCCACCCTCTTCTTGTGCATCTTCTCGGCCATCTTCTCGTACCGTTCCTTCTCCTCCTTCTTCGCCCGCTTCTCCTTGAGGGCTTCGATGCGTCTCTGTGTGGAAATGATGGATCAGCCCCTGGCATCTTGTCTCCCGGATTCGTATTTGCACCAACCTTGCGCTCAGCCTCCTTCTCGTCCTTAAGCTCCTTCTCCTTAGCCTTGACGGCCGCAAGCAACTGCCTCTCCTTTGCGCGTTTCTCGAACGAGGTCAACCCGGAGCCGGGACGGAAGGCCTTTTTGGGGGCGTGCCATTGCTTTCCTGTAGGATAATGGCAATTAGTACTTTATTCGACCTAGGATGGTAGAACGTAACGGACAAAGACTTGCCATTGACTCTCATGCCAAGGGGCTTGAAAACCGCCTTGATCTCCACCTGAGACGTTGTCTGTGTTGTTGTGGTAGTAGAGGACATTGTTGCGAATCGTTAAAGTCGACCAGCAATCCGTGCATTGGCTGGGTTAGTTTGATGCAGAGCGTTGTGACGGCGATGCCAGATGCAGAACTACCAAAGGCGGTCAGTGAATGCGGTCGCACCCGAGCAGAAAAATTTGGACGGCAGAATTAGTTATCAGGCCTGTCGTTGCAACGTTATCGCTGAGCGGGTCGTAGTATGGAGAACAGGCGTTAAAACTGCGGGGCGGACCCTCGTCACCCTTGCTTCCGGCATCGATGTGCCTGGTCTCATGTTGATGGTGACTGACGTTTGATCCCAGGGTCTGCCCCGCAGTGATAAGATAAAGTGACTCAGTCGACTGTTTGACGCTGTGGGAGACACTAATAAAAAGCCTCGAGTTGCCGCCCGATATCGCCTTTGTCTCTCTTACAAGATCAAGTTCAGGAACTGTAACTGTCGAGAGAAGCCATCCTCCGCAAGCACCAATCCGCCAAAATGTCCGAGTCCAAGGGCCGCGTCTGTCTGTAAGTAACACCCAGAGGAGTGTTTAACGTCTGGTGATTCCACTTGTGGCACAGGCTATCCTGGAGCTTTGACGTCTGACTGACAGTCCCTCCCGTTCATAGCGCCTATTCCGGAGGTACGATCCTGGAGCTATAGAATACAAGAGATCCGCCTGCCACGAATGCAATTGCTTACCAATTGATCACCGTATACAGGTCTTGATACTTCCGTGAGTCCTCCTGAAGCTTCCCTTTGATCTCATAGAGCGCATTGACTGACATCTGTGACTGCAGACCATCCTCTGCTGGTTGATTGAGCAGGTAGAGAAAACCAACCAACCCCGGCGCTCCCCTCCCGAGCTGTAATATTAACCCGAGTGACTCGACAGGGCTACACCGTCGTCTGCTTCCTCGCCAATGTCGGCCAGGAGGAAAACTGGGATGAGGTCCGCGCCAAGGCCAAGAAGCTTGGTGCTGAGGAGATGGTGATCCTCGACCTCCAGCAGGAGTTCGTTGACCAGATCGTCTTCCGTGCCATCCAGTGCAATGCCATCTATGAGGACCGCTACCTCCTCGGCACCTCCCTCGCCCGCCCCATCATTGCCCGTGCCCAGGTCCGCGTTGCCGAGCAATACAACTGCGAGTTCGTCTCCCACGGCTGCACTGGCAAGGGCAACGACCAGGTCCGCTTCGAGCTTGCCTTCAAGTATGCTGATTCCCTCCTCTTTAGCCTCATCCGAAGCACAAACACTAACGTGACACAAGGGCCTGCAACCCCGAGATCAAGGTCATTGCTCCCTGGAGACTTCCCGAGTTCTGTGCTCGCTTCCAGGGTCGTCAGGATCTCCTAAAGTACGCCGCCGACAAGAACATCCCCGTCTCCTCGACCCCCAAGGCCCCTTGGTCCATGGATGACAACCTTGTCCACTGCAGCTACGAGGCTGGCATTCTTGAGGATCCCAACCACACCCCCCCAAGGAGCTCTGGACCCGCACTGTTGACCCCCAGGACGCCCCCAACACTCCCCAGGAGTTCACCATCGTCTTTGAGAAGGGTATCCCCGTTAAGGTCATTGTCGATGGCAAGGAGACCACTGGCTCTGTTGAGCTCTTCAAGCTCCTCAACAAGATTGGTCACGACCACGGTGTTGGCCGTGTCGATATCGTTGAGAACCGCTTCATCGGTCTCAAGTCCCGTGGCTGCTACGATACTCCCGGTCTCACCATTGCTCGCCTTGCCCATCTTGACCTTGGTTCGTGTTCCTCGTGTCTGACCTGGTCTGGGTGAATTGACTGCTAATATGGGTTCTACAGAGGGTCTTGTTATGGACTCTAGGGTCCGTGAGCTCCGTGATCAGTTCGTCACCATCTCCTGGTCTCGTCAGCTATACAACGGCATGTACTTCAGCCCTGAGCGCGAGTTGTAAGTCGTTTCCCACCCCAAACTGAAAACAGATGAGCAATCACCAACCGTCATCCCCCTACAGCGTCGAAAACTCCATCATCTTCTCCCAGCAAAACGTTACTGGTGAGGTCCGCATGATGGCCTACAAGGGTAACGCCTACGTCCTCGGCCGCAAGTCCGATGCCAGCAACCTCTACTCCGAGGCCGATGCCTCCATGGACTCCCTCGAGGGCTTCTCCCCCATGGACACCACTGGTTTCATTGAGATCAACGCCATCCGCCTCAAGAAGTACGGTCTTCAGAAGATCAAGGACGGCAAGCCCCTCACCCAGTCTTGAATGTCGACAGGCAAGTCGGATACAAAGATCATAATCGGTGAAAAGGGACGACTGGAGGTTTCTTTGCGCACGTCGCCCCGGGCAGATGGCCAGCCTCACTCGACACATAAAGCTAGCCATGTCCAATCCGCTTCTTGCATATGAAGCAATGATAGAAGGAATAGGCGCTTGAGAGTGGAGGATTGCCTTGGGGCATAAAAATATATGGTACATATAGACAGACGGCTCAAAATGAAAACACCTCATCCCTGCTGCATTGCTTCACCGAATTCAAGACGCTTCCTTACCTGGTAATAGTTAGATAAACCCTATCAAGCGTAGTGTCCGCGTAATGTCCAATATTAAACTCCGTTGCTTGCGACACACGAGGGAGAACGATGTCCACAACATGGCGAAGGATCTAATCTGACCTTGAAAGCTGTACAGTTTCCAGAGAATGGGCGATACTTTCACCCGACGATAGTCTTACCCGAGCAATGAGGCCTCCTCCATATCATCCGCACCCTCCCGTGTAGTGTAAGCGAAGCACTGAAGATCGATCGGAGCATCGATGATAATAAAGTCTCTCCGCTTTTTGGCCCTATTCCATTTTAAGACTTTTCTTGTTGTGCCAAGGGCAAGTCAACCGCCATGCCCACATCTCATCTCCGCGCCCTGCCCTGCGAAGAAGGGCGTTTAAGTTTCGGCGGACAGGGCTGAAATAGGCAAAGAGAGGAGCAAGGATCAAGCGAGTGGACCCAACATCCCAACAACCAAACAGAAAACCGAATGAATCTTGAATGAACCAACCAGTATCTCATCTTCCCTAGTGATTGGGAGATTGAGCAAGATTGGGAATGTCGTCATTGTCAGCCTTGAGATTTGGAGCATCCGATAGGAGGAAGAGAGATGGCCTAACTACATACTGTGAGAACGTGGGAGGGAGCTGAATGACCGTAAAATCCGGGGAAATGTTTCATGGTTTCAGATCAGAACAAAGAGATGGCAAGGATCAAAAGTCCCGTTTTGCCCTGGATGGAAGCGTTCGAATTGGGGTTTAGCCGGAGCGGGATGAGGATCACCTTTCCTGGGTGTGTCTTTTATGCACATTTTATGAAAGCCAAACAAGTCCTGACACCAGCTATACCCAGGGTCTATGTAAGGAGTTTTGCACAGCCGCAATCAACATGCTCGCTCCGAGGACGTCTTTTACGCTTGATGAAACGACGTCGATTATTTCGTGTTTGCACTGTTCAGGGGCCGGCCGGCTTGGCCGGCTTTTCATCGTTGTTGGAGTTGCAGTGGTTGACGATTATCTGCCAGATACAGATTCGACATCTTCTACTTGCACAATACTACTCGTCAGGACTAGAATCGTCCCTTGCGCATGGGCTCAGAGATATATTCTTAGTCTCGAAGAAACACATGGAAGTACCCATCCTCCCACCTCCCTCGATTTGAGAAGAGGTTGAAATTTTTTTTATTTTTTTTCTTATAATGAGCCGCTATATCATACTGGGAAGTTGGTTTGCGTCCTCTTCTTCCCTGGCCTCCTCACTATCGCACCAATTTCCGCGTATAAAACAGGACAAACGACGGATGCCCCCGAGGCCCCCACTTTTGTTGTTTTGATTCCTTTTGCAACCTTGATCAGGGCTACTCCTTGTCCTGGAGAGAGGCACGGCATACATTAGTTTCGATCGACGAATCCTCGAAAACGAGAAGACGCAGCTCTCACTGTTCACAAACCTCGTATGGATACGCACGATTGGGCCATGTGCATTTAGTAGCGTAGAGATGCCACCAATGTGCAAATTATTATTATTATTATTATTATTATTATTATTATTATTATTATTTTTATGTTTTTTTTTTGGTTACGACCACCACTGCCGAAGCAAAACCAAGCGACGATGCGTGGGATGCGAGATTCGGGTATCAGTGCGGGATCGCGTAGAGTTTCCTTTCATGGAAAGCTAGATGACTTTTATACACGACGTAGGGCTTTGTTTGGTTCGTGTTCGTGTATGTAGTGTACTTAGTGTAGTGACCCAACCTATGGATGAACACCCGCTGTTAAACCTGATGATACGAATATTGAAGGGACATAGTAATATTGAGGGAGGGAAAGCATGGTTGAAGTCTTTTGAAACATAACTTGTGTTATCGCGGGTTGATCTTGTTCGGGACTGCAAACAAGGGGACAAGGATCAGGAAGGGCCTCATTCTTTTCGTTGCTCTCCCTCCTTCCTGCTGCTTAAAAGCCTGTGATGTTCTACGCCTGAAGAGTTAGACCACTACCAGGCGGCATTTGGAGAACCAAACTCCTGACGAACTATCCAGATTGATCAACATCACAGGAACTGCACCACACTGTATTCTGGATTCTACGAGCCCTACTGGCTGTATCCTGCGAGTTGTGAACCAGTCGCTGCCCTCCCTCCCTCCCTCGATACAGTGCTTTCGCCTCCGCGTCTGTCCATCCTCTCTTTTACACTCCTCGGTTCGTTTAAGGCAGCGTCGTAATGCAAGCACATCACAGTTTCTCCCGCATGCCCGTGGGGGGAACACAGGTCTATGATTATGAGCCGGTCGGGCCGTGTTTTGAAACCTGGGATCGGGAGGGACCTAGACTCCTTCTCCCAAGCCAAACTCTTGGTACTTTTCCCGCATCGTCTGCATTCCTTCTAGTGCGCATATCACACGTGTACCAAGGGGTGAAAATGACCCTTGATTTCGTCTCTTTTGCTCAAACTTGCTTGGAACGCCTCAACATGAATGGTCTTTGGCTGGTGAGTAGGACGCAAAAAGCATTTTCTTTCCTTTCTCCCTCTGAAGCCTTTGGAGTGTTGTGGAGACCATCATTCGCCCCTTTCCGGTTCTCAACTTACGTTGTTGATGATGCCTTTGACGAATCGATCAGGCGTCCCGTCTATGCGATTGCAGTGCCAAGGCGATCTGGTTGGTGTCTGACACGAAATCTCTCTCAGCCCGTGCAATTGACTACTTGGGGGTTGGGGGCGGCCGGGTGTGGGGCCATTTTTCAACCCCCTCTCATAAAAGAGGGGGAAAAAATTTTATGGGACAAACGTTTAATCTGGGACAAGCTCCGATCTGTACTATGTACAATCGGCTGTTAACGCCGCGCAAAACCACTTTTTGACATTGCGCAAACCGGCAACGCAACTACATGCAAACTCGCTATTTCTGACCACCTACTTCGTGAAGCTGTGTAAAAGTAAGCAGTCTATATATATCCATAGATTAATAGAAGTTAATATAATTTACGTTAGTAAATTTTAATAAATATTTCAATAAAATAGGAGAGGCGCTTACTAGTTATTACGGTATATATATATATTTCGCTGCCTGCTAATATATTAAATACTTAAAAATATTATATAAGCTATTAATTATTAGAAAGATTATTGTTATTATTGGGGAGTCCTATATATTTATTTCCCGTTATATTAAATCGTTAATTAAAACTAATAAATTAGCTATATCGATACATTCGAAAGGGAGGCCCCGTATATTAATATTGGCCGAAGAGGATACTATTATTTCGTATATAATATTTTATTTTTAAGGAAAATTTCCCGCATTATATTAAATAATAATATCGGCGGTAAATTAATTATATTTATTATAGAACGTTCTAGAAATTTGTAATACAATATAGTTAACGGGCTTTTTTAAAGACTATCTAGAATTGAAGATTACAATTTATTGCGCTATCGATATTAAAAGGAAGTTCTAGGAATTAAACGAGGATTCTATTAATAAGTAGTTTAATAATTATAAATTTATAATTAAGAAGTACAATATTATTAAGGGGGATATTTAGAATTGTAATGAAATAGGTGTAAAATTTGGTTGTATAGCGGGTAGGCGCGTGAGGGTAATTGTATTAAGGGAATTAGCGAAGTAGAAGGTAAGTTAATACGGTATATTGCTTTACTAGTAAAATTGTATAGGGGTAAATATTTATTATTCTTTATATAGCTTAAAATTAATAATATTATTAATAGAGAGTTAATTACCTTGCTTATTAATATAAATATATTTAATAATATTATTCCTATTTATATAATCTTTAAAACTAACCTTATTAAGGATTTTATTACTAATAACCTCAACAACGCTATTTAATTCGCTAAATTACCAATTAGCTTCTCGAATACCGACCTTACTTTCAATTAATTAAAATATTTTAATTAATATTCCTTTTACTTATCTCCAACTTTTATAAAATTAAGGGAGGAGGATAGTTATAAATTGGGGGATGAGGGGTTCTCCTTCTAAGACTAGTTCGGCTGCGACTAATATAGTATTAATTATATTAATAAAAAGTTCAATAATCTAAATAGTAGTATTGGGTTAAGGCGGTTGTATAAATTAATTTATTATCTCTTAATTATTAATAAGTTTAGCGGCTATTATAGTATAGAAGTTAAGGAGTATACTAATACGTTTAATATTATTCTAATAGCCTTACCCTTTTATTTAACTTATATAATATAGCCGCTTAACGTTAGAGTATTCTCGTTTTTTAAATCCTATTACTAGAAGGTATTAAAATAGTTCGTCCAACAAAGAGAGTTTAATTTTATTTATACTACGTTTATTAGAAAGCTTAAAGTTAATTATTAACCCTATTATTATTATTTCCCCTCCGCTAACTTTATTAATATATCCTCGATTTTAGTATAACCGTTTATAATATTAATAATAGATTCTATAATATTAAAATATAACTAATTAACTATACCAAAATACTTTTATAAATCCGAATAAAGTAACTTAAAAAATTTAACCCCGCTTTACCCTTATTATTACCTAAAGAGGACTATTTTCGAGAAGTTATTAAAATTATTACTTATATTAAAAATAAATACTACTATACCTTCAGCTCCCTAATGTATAACCGTTATTATACTACTAAGGTCGTAGTCTATAAGGCCCCGTTGATGTACAATATTGTTTAAGAATATAATTGTTAAGACTGGGAGAAGGCAGTTAATTTCAACCGTAAGATAAGGAGATGGGTATATAAGGTGCTAAGGGAGGGTAAGGTATTGAATCTTTTAAAGGGGGATTTTAATTAGCGAATTATTAAGAAGTAATAACGAAAGTAGTTAATTAAGGAGAAGAGGTAATTAATAGCCGTTAAATTATATAATAAGAAGATTTAAAAGTAGTTTTATAATAAGTAGGTTAAAGACTTAGTTAATAGTAAGGGGAAGGTTATATAGAAAGTTTACCTTAATAATTG